TCACCAAACCTCCATAAGACTCGACAATCATCCATCACGCTCGCGCTCGTTCGGCTCAGCTGGGAGACACCAACTCCCCAGTTTCTCCCCTGACTAGCGTTGAGGGAGCCAATGGAGTAGGGTGGGTAGTGTTGGGGTGAAAAATATTTGTGAGTTGGGCTGATGGGGGGATTCAGAAGGCTTAACAGTTGACAGACGACACCCGTAGGGAATCTGTACCGTGCCGACCTTGAGAGAGAATTGGAGAAACTAGAGAACGAGGGAATGAGACAGAGCGAGAGGCTGATTGTTATTCAACTTAGCAACGCAGGGATTTCTCTGCTATGTTGTGCTTAACATCAGGCCCCAGGAGCATGAAAAGAAGAAAGAGGAGGAGAGTTTCCCGTTTATTTGCAGCCGGGCTCAGACATGCAAGGTCTGTGCTTGTGTCCTGATCGACAGGAAGGTCAGTCTGAGAGCCAGAGGGAGAATGTGTCCTGTGTGTGAAGTTATCTGGGTTGAGTGGCTCAGATTTTACCTTCATTGCTGGAACGAGGGATGCGACGATATTGCAATACTAGCCAGTTCTGATAAGCCATGCAATCATTGTTTTCATGTTATGTCCGATAACCAGTAAATAGCCAAGTAGTATCTTTCAAAAGATATTTTTTTTCACAGAAGTAAATTACATATTAAAACTGCATTCCGTAACTTTTTGAGGTTAAAAAATATCCAAAATATTTTTTTAAGCAAGTGCACAACCAGCCAGTGTTCAAAACTCTCTGCTTGCCTTAGCTCGATTAAAAGCCTAAGCCTGTAATAATGTTTTTAACTCCAGTGGTACAGGTGGATTTCTGCAGGAGATTCGAGCATGTGTTTGTGTCATTACGTCACATATGTACACATAAAGAAGAGTCTTGGCTAGTATAAGCTATATTGAGTCATTAACATCACATCTGTACACATAAAGAAGAGTATCGGCTAGTATAAGCTATATTGAGTCATTTATGTCACATCTGTACACATAAAGAAGAGTCTTGGCTAGTATAAGTTATATTGAGTCATTAACGTCACATCTGTACACATAAAGAAGAGTCTCGGCTAGTATAAGCTATATTGAGTCATTTACGTCACATCTGTACACATAAAGAAGAGTATCGGCTAGTATAGGCTATATTGAGTCATTTATGTCACATGTGTACAGATGTGACATAAATGACTCAATATAAAGAAGAGTCTTGGCTAGTATAAGTTATATTGAGTCATTAACGTCACATCTGTACACATAAAGAAGAGTCTCGGCTAGTATAAGCTATATTGAGTCATTAACGTCACATCTGTACACATAAAGAAGAGTCTCGGCTAGTATAAGCTATATTGAGTCATTAACGTCACATCTGTACACATAAAGAGGAGTCTCGGCTAGTATAAGCTATATTGAGTCATTTACGTCACATCTGTACACAAAGAAGAGTCTCGGCTACAATAAGCTATATTGAGTCATTTACGTCACATCTGTACATAAAGGAGTCTCGGCTAGTATAAGCTATATTGAGTCATCAATGTCACATCTGTACACATAAAGAAGAGTCTCGGCTAGTATAAGCTATATTGAGTCATTAACGTCACATCTGTACACAAAGAAGAGTCTCGGCTAGTATAAGTTATATTGAGTCATTTACGTCACATCTGTACACATAAAGAAGAGTCTTGGCTAGTATAAGTTATATTGAGTCATTAACGTCACATCTGTACACATAAAGAAGAGTCTTGGCTAGTATAAGTTATATTGAGTCATTTACGTCACATCTGTACACATAAAAAAGAGTCTCGGCTAGAATAAGCTATATTGAGTCATTTACGTCACATCTGTACACATAAAGGAGTCTCGGCTTTTTATAGCCTTTTCTCACAGCACTTGATATAATTAAACGTATTAATTTGATGGCGGATCCAGAAAGGTTCAAACGACAATCACCAGTGACAACAGATTCACCCGCTGTAAAATGCAAGAGACTGCAACCGGCCCCATGTGAAAACAAGGATAATATCGGAAGGGCGTTAAAATGTAGTCATGCAATGCTGATGTTGTTAACATTAATAATTTGAGAACAAAGTATAATATGCACGTTTGATGTGATATGATAAGCGATCGGATTTAACCAGCGTGATTTACTGCGTCGAGGTTGATAATTCCATGAATAACTGCAATTGCGGATTTCGAACAGAGGAAAAACTACTAGACTGCAGCTTTAGTTCAAATTGGTTGTTTTACATTTTTATTATATTTCACAGTATTACTGTTTTTACAGTATTTTTGATCAAAAACAAATGCAGCCTTGGTGAACAGAAGAGATTTCTTTCAAAAACATTAAAAAACTATTTCAAAATATGACCTCCCACACCAGACAAAAGCCAAAGCAGCCAGAGCAACTTTTCTCTATTTACTGATATGACAAGATGCGCTATAGCGATTTTACAGAATTACAGAATTTCCAGTTATTATATTATATTATATTAGCAAGATCAATGGCAAGTCCATTGCATTTTATAATATGTATAATTATATTATTGTTTTTTAAAATATAATGGATGAATAATATATAATGACAAGTCCGACCATGAAAGAAAAGTAAATGTTTATCAATCAATCAATCAATCAAAACTTTATTACAGACTCAAAGTCCATTTTTAAAAGAAAGAGAAAAACAAACAACCAAAAAAAAAAAACAACAACAACAACAACAACAAAAAAACCCACAACCCATACAATCCATTACAACAACCATACAATTTTGTGACAGACTCACAGAATACACCAGTACCAGTGTCTCCACAGCTTTGACTGATACCGTGTAGTACTAACCCTCACATTTATTAAACTCACAATAATTTCATTTTTAGAGTCATTAAGTCGGCAGATAAATCTATATATAAAATTACGTAACAGTGCTTTAAAAGTGATTACACGTACACTGACTGTTTAGATGTTGCATGACACAATTGCTTGACTAGCATGCAGAATTTGAGAACGTCATGGTGAATTAATGAGTCAAAGCAATGACAGAGTGATGGACACACATGTAAACACTGTCTGGCACGCATTAAACAAAAGCACGCTCACGCACACACAGGCATATAATAGCCCCCTGCTAGTATATTAAGTCTCGCTCAGCCAGACTTTTGACTGGCTGAAGTTTGGACCACTTTGCAGATTATTGTGGCATGACATAAAGAGGCCGTCTATCTGACGTGTTTCGTCATGGGCAGACCTGAATAATAAGGATTCATGTACAGTATTAGCATTGGTTATCATTAATTAAGATAGTTCATTTCGTTCGTTGAATGAACCAAATGACACGAAAAAAGATTCGTTCATTTTGATAAACGAGTTCGAACAGGAGAGTCATGAACACGCATCACAGAACAGAGCAAGGCGAACATTTGAGCTTATAAAACTTTATCTTTGTTATTTATTTATTAAATGAGCGATCGTTTCGCTTGATAAGACCCTTATTCATCGTCTGGAATCGTTTAAAGCCCTTTGAAGCTGCACTGAAACTGTCTTTTGGACCTTGAACCGTTTGGTTCCCATTGAACTCCATTATATGGAGAAAAATCCTGGAATGTTTTCTTCAAAAACCTTAATTTCTTTTCGACTGAAGAAAGAAAGACATGGACATCTTGGATGACATGGGGGCGAGTAAATTATCAGCAAAAGTTTTTTTTTAAAAGTGAACTACTCCTTTAAAGGTTGATGTACAACACCTTGGTCAACGATTGTTGTTTTTAATGGTGCTGTATAAAATTAAGTTGAGTTTAGTCACAGACAAAGCAAAACAAACGCTCATTCACTCTTCCACTCGTCCTGTTATCGATGTCAGAAACTGAACTCGTATCTGTATACTGAATTAGAATTAGTGTAGACAGCATCAGTGATTATAATGGGTTATAGTGTAGGCAAATGACACCCGTTAAACGACTGAACGCCAGTGGGCGGGGCCAATGGTGTGATGTAAAAATGCTGGGTTGTTTTAACCCAATTTTGGGTAAAATATGGACAAACCCAGCCATTGGTTTGCATTTTTAAATTACATTTTTAACCCAATGTTTGAGTTTGTCCATATTTGACCCAAAATTGGGTTAAAACAACCCAGCATTTTTTAGGGTGTATTAATTGAGAAGGAAGTCATGCTAACGTATTTGCCATCACAGATCCCGCAATATCTAAACAAGGCGTTTGAACTTGACCTTAACAAATGACTTGTTTATGAGGAAGACATTTTAAGCTCTAAAACTGGCAAGATGTTTTAATGGAACAAAGATCTCTTGTCAAAAGATCAAGGCACATTTTATTTCTCATGTCAAAGACCTTATCATAAAGTGTTAACATGATAAATAAGTGAATCTGAAGAATAATGGCCCGAGAAATGAGCAGGAATGTGTGACTTTCAAATATTTGAATATCTTTCAAATAATTGAATCCAAATCCATTAATTATGGTTTCCCTCAGTAGAACTCGTAACATAATTTCACTTGGCGCCACTATTGCTTTCATTCTGTGTTTGATTAGACTCCCACATCCACACTTGTCACTTCTGTGCTCGCTAACCGAGTTTCATATTATTACTCAAACAGAGCAATTTCACACAAAAAAAATAAAAAAAATAACACTTAACAGCTGTATGTCAGATTGTGTTTCCATCTCTTCCTCCTGCTTTCTTTTTTTCACCTTCTCGTCTCACTCAGTGAGATTTCAACACCCATTATACCCTGGATGGTACCTGCTAACATCACACGTGGACGTGCCCTGGGCGAACCTCGTTTACACGCTATTGTTTAGCGGCTCACGCTGAGATGCTGGTGTTAGAAGCGCATGCCAGACGGACATGCTTGGGTGACTTTTTTTGGGGAAGGGGAATTTTTTCAGTATCTCTTGCGCTCACGGGCAATAGAGGAAAGAGAGAACAGATGTTAGCGGCCGCTGCTTTAAATAAAAACACATCTCTGTTGTCTTTCAGGATGAAGTCCGTGGAGAAGGAGGATCTGCATGCGTTGTGGAGCGAACTGACCGCCATCATAGAAAGGTACAACCGTACGAATGAGAAATCACACAGTTTTGCTTCGATTTGCCAAGATATCAAAGTCTGAAACCAAAAGCAGAGATTTCTATATGAACTAAATCAATGTGTGTTATATATAGCAAATATGTACTACTCCATATATTCACAAAGACCAAATACATTAATATTGTCAAATCCATTACCATGCTAAACTCAGAAGAGAGTTATCATGATAGAAATTAATTGTAACTTTAAAATAACGGGTAACTATAAATTACCCCTAATTAGGGATGTCACGGTACCAAAATTCTAGTAGTCGGTACCGATACCGATACATTTTACGGTTCTCTGTACCAATTTCGGTACCACGGCAAAATCAGTTTGAACTATTTTTCCAATTTATTTAACTATTTGAAGGAAATATTTAATTCAGTTCAATGACTTTATTCAATAATATATTAAAGGAGTAGTTCACTTTAAAAAAAACTTTTGCTGATAATTTACTCACCCCCATGTCATGCAAGATGTCCACGTCTTTCTTTCTTCAGTCGAAAAGAAATTAAGGTTTTTGATGAAAACATTCCAGGATTTTCTCCATATAATGGACTTCAATGGGAACCAAACGGTTCAAGGTCCAAATTAGAGTTTCAGTGCATCTTCAAAGGGGTTTAAACGGCACCAGACGATGAATAAGGGTCTTATCTAGCGAAACGATCGCTCATTTAATAAATAAATTTAAAAGTTTAAGTTTTATAAGCACAAATGCTCGCCTTGCTCTGTTTTGTGATGAGCGTTCGTGACTCTCCTGTTCAAAGTCGTTCATCAAAATTAACAAATCTTTTTTCGAGTCATGACTCGAAGGGTCATAGATAAGACCCTTATTCATCGTCTGGTGTCGTTTAAAGCCCTTTGAAGCTGCCTTTTGGACCTTGAACCATTTGGTTCCCATTGAAGTCCATTATATGGAGAAAATCCTGGAATGTTTTAATCAAAAATCTTAATTTCTTTTCGACTGAAGAGAGAAAGACATGGACATCTTGGATGACATGGGGGTGAGTAAATTATCAGCAATTATCAGTTTTTTTTAAAAGTGAACTACTCCTTTAACATTAGTGGACATCAACATCATACATCATAGAAATTATTATTTGTCAAAACCTTGACAAATCTTGGAAGAGAAAAACAGTAGTTTATCAGATACACACTCACCAGGAAGTTATAAATAGAAGGATGTCAGGCATTTTTGGTCTGTTTTGATTGATGTCATGGTCCACTAAACTGTGCACAACCATGAACTATTGTGTATTTGTTTGATTAGGGTGTGATGTAAAAGTGTGGAAGAGACCGAGTTTGTTAGTGCCTGTCAGACATCTGCAAGCGTCTCAGTGGATTGATTCGCATTCCTGCCTGTGGTTTGAAGTGCTGTGATGGAGAGAGGACAACACGCAGATAAAGAGCTTTTCACAGAGAGACCTTTGACATAAAGACACACCGGCAAAACCCATTACAGACAGTAATCGTAATACACCAGTTCATCATTTGGACTGTTTCGACAGCATGGGTAGAAGACAAGTTAAATCTCATTTTTTTACTCCAAAAGGAGGATAAAGGGCAGAAGATGAGAGGAGCGAGCCTTTGAGCTTAGTATGTGCGTGATGATCTGTGTTTGGAGGTCGTACACTCTCCTCCTCCTCCTCCTCTCCGTGTATCACAGCTCTGTTTCAGGCCGAGTGATATTATATAGATATTAAATTCTGTAATGTGTCAGCAGGCTTAAGCTGCGTGTGAAGCTCTGTGATGGAAGATAGAAGCACTTCCCACTCACAGGGCTTCGGGTTTCAAAGTTTCCCGCACCTCACACACACACACACACTCTTCACATCTCGGTTTTCAAAGCTCCTTTAATTTTCACCATCCCAGTGGAGCCACAATATCTGCAAAGTAGACTCGTATGTCACAGGCGCTAATGATTTATTCCGATGATGACGGATATCTGACTGAATCTATTTTAAACCATCTTTAACCACGGTTCTCACTCTTCCATACTCAAAAAGTATCCGTAACGCCCACAGAGAAGCCCATGTGCTGCCCACATTGCTTTCATTTCGTATTTAGCTTTATAGTGAACATATGTTGAGCTTCAGCATTTCCTTAATTGTTTAGGCATTCCAAAGAAGCCAGTGTGTACTTTGGGAAAATGTTTAATCCATGAGATTCAGGCATACAAAAAATCCACAGATGTGAGCGTTCCTGCGGGATGGCGCTTATCTTGTAAGGACACCAGCTCAGATCTAAGGCCATACAACTTCCTATCCCATTTTTTGGCTGTCTGGTTCCTCTGAAGGGATCAGTCTTGTGGAGGAAAGTGTCTGATCTTTAAGTGATAACTGTTGCTCATGGGAAGTGTGTCATTATCACACCTTTCCCCAAAGTGTCTTCCTCAATCAGCGGGAGAGGAGGCTGGAGGCCAGCAGATAAGATCGACTGTGTTTGGGAATTTCCTAGTTTTGTCCTGCAGGGAAAAGAGAGATAAAGGGAGAGAAATAGAAATGCGTTCGTGTCTCCAGGCAGTCCTTCCTTCCTATGATCGTATTTCTTGGACATTTGTGACAGTGCCACCTACCAAATTGGATGTCTGAAAAAAGTGCAATCAAAGCAGTATTTTTCATATCAAAAGTAGTTGACTTTTAAAAAAAAACTTTTGCTGTTAATTTACTCACCCCCATGTCATCCAAGATGTCCATGTCTTTCTTTCTTCAGTCGAAAAGAAATTAAGGTTTTTGATGAAAACATTCCAGGATTTTCTCCATATAATGGACTTCATTGGGGACCAAACGGTTCAAGGTCCAAAAGACAGTTTCAGTGCAGCTTCAAAAGACTTTAAACGACTCCGGACGAAGAATAAGGGTCTTATCAAGCGAAACGATCCCTCATTTAATAAATAACATGAACAAATCTTTTTTTCGAGTCATTTGGTTCATTCAACGAACGAAATGAATGAATTGACTCAGATGAACGAGTTCGAACAGGAGAGTCACAGAACAGAGCAAGGCGAGCATTTGAGTTTATAAAACTTAAACTTTGTTATTTATTTTTTTTAATTAGCGATCGTTTGGCTTGATAAGACCCTTATTCATCGTCTTGAATCGTTTGAAGCCCTTTGAACAGTTTCCAGTTTGCACTGAAACTGTCTTTTGGACCTTGAACCGTTTGGACCCCATTGAAGTCCATTATATGGAGATTAATATTGGAATGTTTTCATCAAAAACCTTAATTTCTTTTCGACTGAAGAAAGAAAGACATGGACATCTTGGATGACATGGGGGTGAGTAAATTGCTTCAGCCATGACAACAACATACTGTACATTTTGTGCTCGGGTTACTACCCGAAACCCGAAGCTACATGGTGCCAGTAAAAGCGATACAGACACTGTCAGGCCATGGCAGATGTGTCATTAGGTCGTTGTACCATCATGTCTCGGAAATATATTATAAAGGTTGAAAAATGACATAGTGTCCCTTTAAATAAAACAATCTATCTTAAAATCAAGTCATTTCAAAAGGAATCCATGCAATCTGGAGTCTGTGCTCCACACAGATTTTGCAATTGTTGTTCGCACGAATTTGCTGCGTTTACCATCAGAAACCTCCTTGGTTTGAAAATGACTCTTGAGTGTGCTTCATCATACATCGCTACACAATTGACAATAGACAACAGACCCCTTTTTGCCCACAAAATGCTAAAATGACCACATTCTGTAGTCACACTATGATTGTTATCCATCTTGTATTCATTTGCTGAAACTGCAGCCTCTGGTACTGCAGACAGACTATAATGATTTTGTAAGATCTCTTTAAGAGTTTGTTTGTGGATTGACATAAGCATATTTCCAAAACCTATAGTTAGATATCTACCTAGATAGCATTTATACACATCATAGTTGTGCTCGTTAGGCAGAGCGACTTTTTCTGCAGTTATATGGTTTCAATATACAGGTGACTTGTCTTTTATGAGTTAACACTTGTGCATCAATTAAAAAACGTTACTCATAGGTAAAAAGAGGACAAAATTGTCCATGTCAAAAAACTGTCATAAAAATGTGACTCTTTGGAGCACAGACTTAAGTTTGGTATCATTTTAAAGAAGACCCTTTGCAGATTATTTCTGAAGTAAAAAAAATAATAATAAGTAAATCCAAAAAAAAAAAGTTATATAGGTATAAGTTTATGAAAATTATTTATAAAAAATATTTTATATAAAATATATATTTTTTTTAAATCAGGTTGAACTCAAAACTGCAATAAAATCAAAGCCATAAATCTAAAAAGGTTGTGTTCCAAATTTGAGGATGATAGCTTTCGGTAACAGTTTGTTTGGGCGTAGTAACATATTTTCCCCATTGGGTGCCAGCAAAACCCCACTGGAGCTCACAGTGATTGGATTTGAATTTGCAGTTTTTCTCTCTCAGTATTACAAACACACACATATTTTTTTATAACACACATACTAACCACACTCTGACATCCATACCAACACACCCACACAAATATCGTTGCATAATTTATCCAGTTGGCTCTGTAGTATGCCGAACCAGAAAAAAAGGAATAAAGCGATATTTGTTTTATAGACCAAACGTAAAAAAATGACACCATCTGATAAAAATAGTGAAAAATATATATATATATATTTTTTATTTCAGGTTAACAAAACAGTAACACATACCAGGTAAGATTCAGTGAGACACATCTACAATACAGAAGTAGGAAAGGGGAAACAAAAGAAAACAACAACAGAGAAAACCAACAAACAACAACAAAAAAACAACAAAAAAAAAACAAACAAAAAAAAAAAAAACACAGAGAACAGAAAATAAAATTTTGAAGCCTTGCCATCAGAATGAAAGCCTCTTAACAAACATAGCATAATTTTATAGTTAACTGATTGGTTTCAATGGGGACATTTTTGTCCAAAAGGTGCTGAGAGGGAGTATTTTTTGTACCTAATGCAAAAAATATTTTTTTAAGAAAATGCCGGTGAAATAGTAAATTTCCAATAAAAATACACACCTGTGCCAAGTTTTTTGCAGTTAGCTTTAACACAGGCAAAGTGATCAAAAAAACAAAACTGAAAAGGACAAAAATGTCCATAAGGATGCACAAGGGTTAAGGCCCTCGCACACTTTTTCGCACGTTAAAAAATAAATATGACCTCATGTTATGTCAATCAAGCCTCCGAAACTTTCGTCCGTCATAAAAAACATTTAATCGGGTTTGATTTTCTGCGTTTTTCGCATCCGTAGAATGGTATTTTGACAATTCAGAGCCACGGAAATCAATTAACGCATACGAAAACTCGGACTCAGTGTGCAAGGGTCAATAAATCAGTTATTCAACCAATTATTCACCAAAACGAATTCATTCACAAGCCGAACAAGTGACTGTCGTAATGAACCAGACATTAAATCATTCAAGACTAATGTAATGTAAATATGCTTTTTAAAAATATATTCAAATATACAAGTAAAATGACCGTGCCAGTTCCGCATGGTAGGATGTGTGTAGGCAGAATGCAGTGAGACTCGTGGTTTCAGAACAAAGATATTTGTTTTGTGTGTGCAGATATCTAGCTTTTATGTGTGTGTAAACGGTTTGCATGTGTTGTGATTCAGTGTGTTCACTCTTTCCCCCGAAGGCTGTCCCGAGACCTGAGGGAGGAGGAGGAGAGCCGGTTGTCATGTCAACGACGATGCGAGTCCATGCAGGAGCAGCTGTTGGCGTGGCAACAGAAAGAGGAGGAGGCAACCCGGAGACTGGAAAGGGCGGAGGACGAGATGAAGGACCTGAGAGTTGCCCAGTCCACTTTACAGCAGGAGAGGTCTGTTAGTCAGTCACACTCCACCGCAGGAGAGAAGAAATACAGTGTTGCTTTCTACACACAAATACATTTACAGCTGTACAGCTTTTCTTTTTTCTCTTTGCGTGTTGCATCCTTCCATCCCACCTGCTCCTCTCAATAAACCGTCGACACGTCGGGACCTGTAGGATGTGACTCACCTGTTTCCTCTCTATCTGTCTTCATTTACGATTGTAAAAACAATGCAGAAGCTGTGCTCCAACTAAAGCTGTGCATTGCTGGAATAACCGGGATTAAGGGGTGTTATTAGGCATGATGTGAAGCAGAATTAGGCCTGGTTCACACAGAACGCGTTTTTCTTTCAAAAACGTGAGACACGGGAAAAAATGCAAGGTCTCGAGATGCTTTTTTTTTTTAGTTTAGTAGGCGTCTATCTAGTCTGTGGGAACGACCCAGACCGTTTATGCATTCCACTGCGCTGCTGAACATTGTTTTTCTATGTAAGCATGTTATAGACGCATTTGAGCACTGCGCATGACGCGATTCCATAACTTCTTCAAAGTCTTTATGCCATCCCGTATCATGCATTTTGAAACACACAATTCCACTGCACTGATTTCCATTGTGTCCATTGCTTTTTCAAAATGTGCTATGCGGTTGACCATTTCACATCTTCATGCATGACACATCGTGCTTAAAGAAATACCCACATCTTTAGACCTTGCACAAGGGAAAGACAAGCCCAATTAGTTTTATGATTGTTAGATTATAATCTAAAAGCTATATGCACTAAGTTGGCAGAGTCTATTTAGACTGATGTCTAGTTTGGCCAGACAGAATTACAGAAGATGCTGTATTGTCAACATCAGCAATAGTGTTGGGGTTAGGCACACAGCTGATGCAATTAACCCGTGTTCGAATCTGACTTTTGCCGTACTCGCTCTCCTCTCTTTTCCCATCACATATTATATCAGAAAGTTATGGAAGCTTCTTTCCGCCATAGAATGAAAAATATAAAAGGTAATTGCGACTTTTTTATCTCACAATTCTGACTTTATTTCTCAGAATTGCAAGATCTTTTTTTCTTTTTTTTTCTCAGAATTGCAATTTTATATCACGCAATTCTGACTTTATATCTTGCAATTCTGACTTTATATCTCACAATTCTGACTCTATATCACGCAATTCTGACTTTATATCTCGCAATTCTGACTTTATATCTCGCAATTCTGACTTTATATCACAATTCTAACTTTATATCTTGCAATTCTGACTTTATATCTCGCAATTCTGACTTTATATCTCGCAATTCTGACTTTATATCACACAATTCTGACTTTATATCTCACAATTCTCACTTTATATCTCACAATTCTGACTTTGTCTCGCAATTTCGACTTTATATCACGAAATTCCGACTTTATATCACACAATTCTGACTTTATATCACGCAATTCTCACTTTATATCTCACAATTCTCACTTTATACCTCACAATTCTGACTTTATCTCACAATTCTGACTTTGTCTCGCAATTTCGACTATATCACGAAATTCCGACTTAATATCACACAATTCTGACTTTATATCACGCAATTCTCACTTTATATCTCACAATTCTCACTTTATATCTCACAATTCTGACTTTATCTCACAATTCTGACTTTGTCTCGCAATTTCGACTATATCACGAAATTCCGACTTTATATCACACAATTCTGACTTTATATCACGCAATTCTCACTTTATATCACGCAATTCTCACTTTATATCTCACAATTCTCACTTTATATCTCACAATTCTGACTTTATATCACACAATTCTGACTTTATATCTCACAATTCTCACTTTGTCTCGCAATTTCGACTTTATATCACGAAATTCCGACTTTATATCACACAATTCTGACTTTATATCACACAATTCTCACTTTATATCTCACAATTCTCACTTTATATCTCACAATTCTGACTTTATCTCACAATTCTGACTTTGTCTCGCAATTTCGACTTTATATCACGAAATTCCGACTTTATATCACACAATTCTGACTTTATATCTCACAATTCTGAATTTACATCATGCAATTCTGACTTTATATCTGACTTTATATCTCGCAATTGTGAGATAAAGTCGCAATTATTATTTTTTTTTTTTATTCAATGGCGGAAACAAACTTCCATAGAAAGGCATTTATTTAAAAAAAAAAAAAAAAACTCAAAGTGGAAATAAAGTGTGTTTAATAATTAAGAGGTATGTGTAGGAGGGGCTTTATTGTCCCAATAAGGCAACATCCATTTCATAAAAAAATAATCAATTACTCTCTGTTATTATTTCATGCTGTTTATTGTGCAACAACACTGAGGTGCAAATAGTATCTGCCTCTATTTCCATAGGTCTACTGCTATTTTTACATTGTCAATAGAATCTATCGTTTTTTAAACTAAGTGTAAACAGCCCCTCCCAAAAGTACTTAAACTTTCTAAAACATGCGTTTTCCCATTCCACTTTTCTCATTCCATCTCGTGTTTTTAAATTCAGTGCGAAGGGCCCCTCAGAGATATTTATGTCCCTAAACCCCGCTTCTTCTCCTTTTCTATTTGATCTTCTATTGTTCTTTCCCACCTGTTCATCAGGCTAATTGCAAGTCAATTCACATCTGTCTCCTCCTTTATTAGGGCCTGATTGTATCAGTGGCCACCTGTGTCTTGAGTTTCTGTTTTTCTCTCTGTTAGTGGGCTTTTGTTACGTCCCAGCTGTTTGTGTGTTTGGATGTCTGGTGTTGTTTGCATACACTCCTCTGTCCCAGAGGTCTACCTGTCTGTTAGCAACAAACAGCACAGCCTTGTCTTCTTTGTCTTTTGCTTAGTGTTGTGTTATGCTCGTCCTCAACTGTTTACACCTCCGCCATTGTGTCGGTTACTGGTCTTGTTGCCATGCCACTTCTCAAATGTTGATGTCCAGGCTTGTCTGATCGTGGTGTTGGCTGGATGCAATGAAATTGCTATGGCATTTTGTGCGGTTGCTAAGGCATTGGCAATTATTTGGATCAGATCTGTGCTCGTTGGTCATTGTCGAGAACATCCAGAACCTGTCACAGCAAGCATCACTATGTTTTATGAATGTTTTCAGTGTGCAGTGTGCTCTACTAGTAGTTGTCTACTCGGGCCTGATGTTCTTGTGTGCTACAGCAAAGACTCCTTCACAAAAATGTGTGTCACTTGGTCAAGTGCTATTCAACACCGTTTATTTCAGCCCAGGGCAAACACTTGCTTTTCTAAAGATGTATTGATCTAGTCATTGAGCTGTAACACACAGGCTTTGTTCGGCAGGCTCATACTTGTGCTGCAGGTGAGGTGGGGTCAGAGGTCGCAGGTGTTTGAGTAATGAGATGGAAATTAGTTTTTTAAGCTGTCATCCTCTGAGAAAGCAAAGTAATTAAAATAGCTTGATTGTAACTCGACACTCCTGCTTCATTTAATATACGTGGTTCTATGAATATGCAAATGAGCCCCGCCTCCACTCACTCACTCAACTCAGAAATCCACTCGATGACGATCACTCGTAGACCTGATTGGTTACAAGGCAATAGTTTGTGACGTCAGAAACACCAGCGATTTTGGTCTTTGGATCACTGCAGTTTTCAGGATAAAAATCTCAACAATGGTGATAACTTATGAATTTGTGTATGGTTTGTCTTAAAGCATATTAAAACACCACATAGACATATATACAATGTTAAAAATTGTTGATTTTCACCACAAGGGGACTTTTATGTTGTTAGCTGAGGCCATCTTCTTGTTGTATTGTGTTAGTTGACCATTCCAACATGGCCGACGGCTTATGCATAGCGGGTCCATAGAAATAGCTTCTAATGAGGAATCTGTGTGTGTGTGTGTGTGTGTGTGTGTGTGTATATATATATATATATATATATATATGTATATGTGTGTGTGTGTGTTCAACAACCCAAAAAATGGCAATTCAACTTGTTCAAATGGTGAAAAAAAAACCCAACTGCGACAGTTACTGATCCGACAAAACCTGATACACTGCCGTCTGTCGGTGCAGTGTGTGTTGGCTAATCATAATCACACTAATCATACTAGCAGTAAAAAGTGAGTCTAGAATAGATTTACAGTAGACATGCACAATCATTATAGACTTTCTTTTGATTCCAGTTAAACTGAGTAGTTTTTGCATTATGTGTGGTTTACACAACATTATATGACTGACAGAAAACACACCATTGTTTCATTCGTCTTTAACCCTGTAAACATCAAACGAAAGTGCGTTAAGAAAAACAAAAAGAGCGAACTGTGCCTTCCTTCAGACGTCCACCACACACACACCACCTTTCCTAGGGCATTGTGGGAAGGAAGAATAAACACTTTGTTAAAGTGCAAAGAACTTAACAGAATGTCCTGACCACACGCTTGAACTGTACGTGATGTCTCAGTTCAGAGGAACAAGCGCTGAGGAAGTACACTAAAAGGCATGTGCACGCCTTCGTTCTCACTCATATTCAGTCAGACAATAGCTGTGACCACACTTTGCCAATTATCACAGTCCCCGCTCGTGCCTTTCAGAGCCGATTCTGACCCCTGTTCTGGATGGAGGACATTTTGTCCCTCAACGCTCTACTCTCGCCCACCAAACAACTACTGCTTCAGCCTTTTTATAAGCACTGAGTCATGAGAACAAACCCCTCTTTCATGCATCCGCATGGATCACAATGCCACTGTTGATGTTTTTCACTCTGAGAGCAACACTTCACTTCTGGTCTCCCACACGCACAGCTCAGGGTCACACAACCACAATCATCAAACCCCTGACGACAACAAAACACACTTCAGCGAGTGAGAGAGCCAGGAAGATGACGCCATTTAAGAGGTCGTTCAAAACGTTTGGGCTCAGTAAGCTATTTTTAAAGAAATGAATAGTTTTATTTTTCAAGGATGCTGTTATTATCACCACATTTTGTGAAGTCAGAAACACCACCTTTGGTTCACTGCGGAAAATACTCGATGGTGTCGACTGATGAATTTGCACACAGTTTGTCTTAAAGGGATAATTCACTTTGAAATTAATTTTTGCTATGTTTTAGCTTACCTCAAGGGCATCCAAGTTGTAGGTGTCTTTGTTTCCATATTTTTCGGTCAAACCGTTCTTGTCTGTCAGTCATATAATGGAGGCCTATGGTCACCACCTCAAAGAGCATGCACAGAGAAGTCCAAATTAAACATGATTTAATGACTCGTAAATGTAAGTACACATTGACGGCCTGAGGCGCGAAACGAGCGGTTTGTGTGAGAAAACTAACAGTGTTTATATCGTTTTTATATCGAGGTGGTGACCATAGAACTGCATTATATGACAGACAGGTAAGCTAAAAGATACCAAAAATGTATTTCAAAGTGAACTATCCCTTTAAAGCACATTAAAAACATCACATAGACATGTAAACAACATTACAAGCTGGATTTTCACTACATGGACTTTCAAATAGGGGAGAAACAAATTTTGCTTTTGTGTTCTCTCACCAAAGTTTTCTGTTTCCCTGAGAATCTCGTTGTTCCCTTGCAAAACTTTTGTGTTATTTGCGAGCGAATGCAAAGTTTCTGGGGGAACGCAAAACTTTTGTTAGAGAACGCAAAAAGCATTGACGTCATTTTCCCATCAGATCTCATATTTTATTTCTTTCACCCTGTGCCTTTTAGCGGCTCCAGACAGGTCATATTCACTATGGTGTTTATCAAACGGAATTTTTTTTCTTTTACATGTTTTTGTAATGTGAAATTGTAATTGTAACATGCTTAATTTGTTTCCCCCATGCCTGTGAGCGGTTACACATTTAGTAATGCTGACCTCAAAATCCTAGTTACACTAATCTTCTCTCAGAATTTTTTTGTCATGTGCTTTTTTTTTCTTTTTCCTTCCATTTTTAGAGCATTTGCTTTCTATCTGCCACTCCGATATTTTTTCCATTGATTTGATTACACAAGTGCAGTGAAGTGTGCACATTCCAGACTGGGCTTATTTAACACTTGTGTTTCTGAGAGCCACTTCTTCCAGACAGATCCCCCATTACAGGTCTTCTCTCTGGAGAGGCATCACACAAATGCTGTCAGAGAGCTGCGTGTCTGTCAGTCCCCGACCCATCTAACTTTAATAGTATACAGCCTCACGGCACGTACACCCCTAGACCGGCGAGATGAAACATTCCCTCTCTCTTTTAGGCTGGAAAAAAAAGACGAAAGAATACGCCTGGAATCTTTTGTGTGAGCGCCTCTGTCTCGGGGGAATTACAGCAACATCCATTAACACATACTAGGGTGAATCAAAGTTATTTTCAGTGCATTATACTCATATTTAAAGGAGTAGTTCACTTTAAAAAAAACTTTTGCTGATAATTTACTCACCCCCATGTCATCCAAGATGTCCACGTCTTTCTTTCTTCAGTCGAAAAGAAATTAAGGTTTTTGATGGGGATTTTCTCCATATAATGGACGTCAATGGGAACCAAACGGTTCAAGGTCCAAATGAGAGTTTCAGTGCAGCTTCAAAGGGCTTTAAACGACACCAGACGATGAATAAGGGTCTTATCAAGCGAAACGATCGGCCATTTAAAAAATAAATACAAAAGTTTAAGTTTTATAAGCACAAATGCTCGCCTTGCTCTGTTCTGTGATACGCGTTCGTGACTCTCCTGTTCAAACTTGTTCATCAAAATGAACGAATGTTTTTCCGAGTCATTTGGTTCATTCAACAAATGAAACGAACGAATTGACTCATTCATTTTGATGAACGAGTTTGAACAGGAGAGTTGAGCAAGGTGAGCATTTGTGTTTATAAAACTTAAACTTTTGTATTTATTTATTAAATGAGCGATCGTTTCGCTTGATAAGACCCTTATTCATCGTCTGGTGTCGTTTAAAGCCCTTTGAAGCTGCACTGAAACTCTCATTTGGACCTTGAACCGTTTGGTTCCCATTGACGTCCATTATATGGAGAAAAATCCTGGAATGTTTTCATCAAAAACCTTAATTTCTTTTCGACTGAAGAAAGAAAGACATGGACATCTTGGATGACATGGGGGTGAGTAAATTATCAGCAAAAGTTTTTTTGAAAGTGAACTACTCCTTTAAGCGGTGAAATATTCATATTCAAGGCCTGTTTTAACTGCGAGGTTAGGTAGGAATGCTGGTATGTGGCGATCTGATTCAGTCAGGCTGTTTGTGAGGACTTTGATGTTTCTCCTGAGAGGTTTGTGTTTGTTTGTGTGTGTTGTTTCAGTCTTCACCAATCCAGGATGGAAGTAGTGTGTCTATAAAGTCGCAGTTTCTGTCTCGTGGGAGGAATGTTTGAGCCACAGAGGAATGTGCTGTAAAAATGGTATTTATGCCAAACTGTCTGTCTGTCTAGTCACCAGCATTCCTCAAATCCCCGCTGTCTGTCTCGGCTAATAGCAGAAGAGCTTTTCAGAGTACAGTTTGATGAGTCAAACTATAATCATGGTTTTAAAATGAGGACAAATGGGAAGAGAGAAGCATCTTGGGCCATGTCTGCTGTCTGTACATGACAACATATCCTGTTCTCAATGAGTGTTCTTATCCTTATTTACAGTTAGTTTTTTATTAAATTAAGACGGTATGTATTTTATTCCTCTTATATTTTATTTATACATTACTGTTTAAAAGTTTTAGGTGAGTACGATTTTTAGTTGTTGTTTTTTTTTTTATCGAAAGAAGCCTTTCGCTCACAAAAGCTGCATGCATTTATATTTTATATGATTACAAATACAGTAAAAACAGTACTATTGTGAAATATGATTTCATATTTGTGGTCAAAGCTGAATTTTCAGCATCATTACTCCAGTCTTCAGTGTCACATGATCCTTCACAAATCATTATATGTTGATTTGCTGCTCAAGAAACATATATGACTATTATGAATGTTCAAAACTGTTTACCTGCTTCATCTTTTAGATCAAATATTCAGAAGAACAGCATTTTTAAAAATGAAAATCTTGGTACAAGAACAGGGCTTTCTAACGATTAATCCAAAATAAAAGTTTGTGTTTGCATTTTATATGTGGGTGCACTGTGTATAATAATTTTTTTTATATATATATATATAAATTGGGATTAGCAATTGTTTATATATATATATATATATATATAAATACACATGCTTGTATATATTTAAGAAATATTTTCATTTATATACTGTATATAGATGTATATATAAATTATATTACATATAAATATTTTATATAGAAATAATATTTTTTTCTTAAATATACATGCATGTGTGTGTGTGTGTATGTATATATATATATATATATATATATATATAATTATACACAGTGCACCCACATATAATATGTAAACGCAAACTTTTATTTTGGATGCGATTAATCACAATAAAAGAACAATGTAAAAGTCCTTTCTGTCAATTGAATGCATCCTTGCTAAATAAAAGTATTATTACATCTAATCTTCAGGCTAACCTGAAACTTTTGAATGGCAGTGTATGTTTTTATACTTATAATTATTTTCTCTTATATTTTTTTGGAAAACTACGGAGCCCCTAAAGGGACATGGTGAAGAAAAAGAAAAAAAAAGAGATTATTTGGCAATACTTTTGCGTTGTGTGTAGCCGACCTGCTGGCCTGTGTTCAGTGCATGTCTTCATCTGGGATTAGCAGTTGTTGTGAAATACTCATTACTCTGTCTGACTTTGACCATGTTTTACGGCCATTTCCTTTGTAACATTTTGTCTTGATCCCTGAGCCTGCAGACCAACATTAGTCATGATTTTATATAAGAACGTTTTATGACATGTGACAATTAACAAAAATAACAATTACGTTTCCATAACAACTGTATCAACATATTCTTGCTGGTAAATGTGTCACTCTTTGAAGTCTTGTGCAGTTGTTTCATTAAAGTGTGGTAACGGCCTAATACAATATCTCTCCTCGGTCTTACCTGTAATATTAAACAGATCAATCATGTCGGTGTGGTTTTCAGTCAGAATTAGACCAGACATTTTGTTAATGCTCAATGATGTTAAATGCATTTATGATATCCAATGTGTTCAGTTGATTTATATGATTGGTGAATCCACTGAAGACTTTCTTTTCATAGGGAAGAGCTGAGAAGAAGTCATGTGGGAGAACTGGAGAGACTGGAGGAGAGCTTTAGAATAAGGCTGAACACTGCAGAAGAGCACAGGTCAAAGGTGAGGTCACAAAATACTAATAAAAACCTGTTTCAGGGGATGATTTATGATGGGTAATTTGTTCATAATAAATTTTTTCAGTCATTTACAATAAAATGCAAGTAAAAATTCAATACAATTTCTCCATTGACAGTTGGGATATATGTGGTAGACTTAAAGGGTTAGTTCACCCAAAAATGAAAATGAAGTCATTAATTACTCACCCCCATGCTGTACCAATCCCGAAGTCGTTATTTTTGTTTTATTCTTGTTTTATAGACTCTCATTACTAGACTTTACTGGGGAATTGTACAGTTACAGAGCACTAATGGAAAAAGTATGAGATGAAATACATTATTCACTAACATTTGACAACCAGACATGTCTTCATTTTGATCAGTATATCTATTGTTTCATCATTTAAAATCAAACAAACTTCTTTTGTGTGAAATGTTTTGCTTGACAAATATTTTTTTTTGCTGTGTTTGTATTGTAAATTTCAAATAAATGCCACTTGTTTATTTATTTATTTATGCCGACGTATCAAACTTTTACTGGATGAATTCCCTTTGAACGCTGAAGACTTATTTCTATCCTAGAGAACTACAGGCACATTTTGTTTCTTTTCCTTCTGTCTGAAGTTTGGTTTAGCTATTTTTTTTTCTGTTATTTGAGTTTCATTGATTTTTTTTTTTAAGTGGGTTGAGGTCTGCCCTCAGCATGCTAGTATTAAGAGGAATGCCGTTTGATTTAGTGCAAATTACATTTAAGGCCCGCTGGTTTCCTGCCGTTAACACAGACATGCTAGTCTAGTGTCTAGTGGAAGTGGTCTCTTACTGTCTCACTCACACACACACACACCTGGTTTACTATGTTTGTGGGGACTCTCCATAGGTGTAATGTTTTTTATACTGTACAAATTGTATATTATCTCCCCTTACACTTACCCTACCCTAAACCTGCCCATCACACACACACACACACACTGAGACAGACCCTGTTGTTTTCTCTCACACGCACACTGTCTGCACTCTCTGGGCACTTGGAAAAGCCTGGTGACCTTGGTCATGCATGAATACTAAAAATACATGGCATGCCACCATTACCCTCTTTGCTGTTTGTAATTGCTCTAACCATTTTATTCCGCCGCTGACAGTTCAATATTTCAAAACCCGCAGTTGGTGAAAAACCCTGGTGTTTGATATGAAGCGTATGGTCACTGAAAGACTACACTGACAGCTTTATTTGCTTTATTCCCACCACATCAGGCCTAAATTAAACATAATGAAATGAGATGGAATGGATCTCATAGACATTTTGTCCTGTTAGCTGTTTTATTCTTCAGTTTTTAAAGACAAATAATCCACATGTAAATAAGGCAGAATGTGACGCTAGTGTGCAGGTTTTCGGGGATTTGCATGGGCCTTCCTATTTGGTTATGCATGATGTTAGTTTTTAATTTGTATTGTTTGTTCTTTTTGTCCATTTGGAGTGTTGTTTTAGTATATTTACATACTATTATAATAGCATTTATTTATTTATTATTTTTAGTTTCAGTAATTGTATCTGCTTAAAACTATTGTTTAAGTTTTAGTTATTTTAGTTTAATAGTAATTTTAGTACTTCAACTGAAGGCTAAAATTAAATTTTCCTTGCTAAGTTTAAGGTTTTCATCTAATATTTTTTTCATAGCCTAATTTTTATGAACGAAACTACTTTTAATAGTCCAAGCAATAATATGAAAATAAAACCATCTCGAGATTAAAGTCATTATAATGCGAGATTAAACTCGTTAAATTTCGAGAAAAAAGTCGAAATACAATCTTGAGAATAACTCATTAAATATAAAAAATTAAGTCGTTGTTTCGAGAAAAAAACTCGTTAAATTTCAAGGAAAAAAATCGAAATACAATCTTGAGAATAAACTCATTAAATATCAAGAATAAAGTCGTGTTTCGTGAAAACTCGTTAAATTTCGAGAAAAATTTCGAAATACAATCTTGAGAATAACTCATTAAACATCGAGAATAAAGTCGTTGTGTTTTGAGAAAAAAACTCCTTAAACTCCGACTTTTTTCTCTAAATTTTACGATTTTTTTCTCGAAACACAATGACTTTATTCCCGATATTTAATGAGTTTATTCTCAAGATTGTTTTTTTGCTTTTTTTCTCGAAATTTAACGAGTTTAATCTTGCATTATAATGACTTCAATTTCAATATTTAATGAGTTTATTCTCAAGATTGTATTTCGACTTTTTTCTCGAAATTTGACGATTTTTTTTCTCAAAACACAATGACTTTATTCTCGATATTTAATGAGTTTATTCTCAAGACTGTATTTCGACTTTTTTCTCGAAATTTGACGATTTTTTTTCTCGAAACACAATGACTTTATTCTCGATATTTAATGAGTTTATTCTCAAGACTGTATTTCGACTTTTTTCTCGAAATTTGACGTTTTTTTTCTCGAAACACAATGACTTTATTCTCGATATTTAATGAGTTTATTCTCAAGATTGTATTTAGACTTTTTTCTCGAAATTTGACGATTTTTTTTCTCGAAACACAATGACTTTATTCTCAATATTTAATGAGTTTATTCTCAAAATTGTATTTCGACTTTTTTCTCGAAATTTTACGCTTTTTTTTTCTCGAAACACAACGACTTTATTTTTGATATTTAATGAGTTTATTCTCAAAATTGTATTTTGACTTTTTTCTTGAAATTTAACGAGTTTAATCTAGCATTATAATGACTTTAATCTTGAGATGGTTTTATTTTTTTATTGTTTTATTATAGTGCATTCGGCCCTAATCCTCTTCCGTAGAACTGTACTACATTTTGTGTAATTAAATTCATCATTAGCCTGAAGTTCAATTTAGGTCAAGTGCACAAACAATATTCTGATTCTTAGGAGATCTTGTAAACTTTATTTGACCTCTACCCTTCTCTAACCCGCAGACAGAGGCTTTACTCCAGCAGACACGGGCCGAGCAGGACACACTGCTGAAACAGCAGGAGACGGAGTTGAGAAGAGACGCTGAGATTGAGCTGGACATCCAGAGACAGAAAAACCAGGAGCTGCAAAACAAATACCAGAGTGAAAACCAGCGAATGCAAAACGAGGTACAACTGGCTGACCTTTGACCTTTAGGTCTTGATCATGGTTCAGTGGCATCAGATTATTAAGGCAGTTTTGTTTTCCAAAAAATGGCACATTTAGCTTTGTCTTTATTATATTTTGTGTGTGTGTGTGTGTGTGTGTCTATATTAGTAGTTTGAGGAGTTCACAATTTTATATAATCCTGAGATACAGAAAAACATGTCTGACTTGCTTTGACATTGAATATGAGACTCAACTCAACGCTCTCGGTTTCCCACTGGACTCATTAATTTACTCTCTGATGCACGAGTTATTAAACCACAAAGAATAAAAACATCTTAAAGTTTTGTTTGACTGAACTTCAAAACGAAGAGTATCATTCCCAGTTGCCCTTCAAAATGTTGTCATCTGACCTTTGCAATAGAAGATAAGGGTCAATGTTGATATAATATTATATGGTGTAATATATACGTTATGTAATGTAAATTGTTAATAGTCAGATGTAAGTGGCGGTTAATTGACATTACAATTGAAGAGTTCAGATGCAAAAGCCTCTAAATGCCATTTGAAATTTTCTTCTAAAATTACCATTTTTATCAAGCTTGTATATTTAAGTTCAGTAATTTCACTTAAATGACAATTAATAGGTAATCCTCATTGCCATTTAAGTGAAATTACTGAACTTAAATATACAAGCTTGATAAAAATGATCATTTTAGAAGAAAATTTCAAATGGCACTTAGAGGCTTTTGCATCTGAACTCTTCAATTGTCAATTATCCACCATAAAATCCCCCCCCCCCAAACACACACACACACACACACACGTCTGGTTTACTATCTTTGTGGGGACTCCCCATAGACGTGATGGTTTTTACACTGTACAAACTGTATATTTTATCTCCTTACACTAAACCTGCCCATCACACACACACACACACACACAGCTCCCTGTGTCTGTTTCCATGTCTTTCTCTCTGAAAGTGTTTGGGTTTTGTCTTACACTTCTCCTTTGTTCATGGCCATAAATAATGTCTGATGATCACTGTCTGTCCGGTGGAGCCTGATACGCCCAGTGTGTGTGTGTGTGTGTGTGTGTGGCCAGAGTAAGATTGGTGGAGGCAGGTCTACTGGTCCAGAAGTGATGTTGAGAGGTTTTGTCTCCGCATGCCACAGATGAGGAGTTGCTGATCACACACACAACATAGCGAGAGGATTTGGGAGTGAGGCGGGACTTTTATTATGTTAAAGTTTTTCAAATATTTAAAAGTCTCTTCTGCTCACCAAGGCTGCATTTATTTTATAAATAACACAGTAAAACATTAATATTGTGAAATATTATTACAATTTAAATTAGCTGTTTTTTTCTGTTAATTTATTTTAATAAATTGTAATAGATTCCTTCCGAAATCACTCTAATATGATGATTTAGTGCTCAGTAATTATCAATTATTGCTCAGTTATTAAGAGTGGTACTTATTATTATCAATCCTGAAAATAGTTTTTGCTGCTTAATATTTTTTTTTTTAGATAAATAAAAAAAGAATAGCATTTATCTTATATAATTATAGTTATTCTTGGTGTGAACAGGCTTTTATTTATAGAAACGCAGACAACGTAATTATTCAGTCATCAGCACGAATGTTTTTTTGTGTGTGTTTTTTTTTTTGCTAGCTATATTTGTGGATCTCTCCCTGTAGATTCCCGCTCTGGTTGGTTCAGCCACACAGGAGCTCCGGCAGGAGTTGGCAGAGCTTCAGAAGCGTGTTCGTGAACAGGAGGAGCAGATTCGGGAGAGCGCCACCCAGAGGCAGCAGGAGATACTGCGGGAGCAGAGGACAGGAGAGACGCTGAGGCAGAACACACACCAGCTCAACATCGCCCAGAGTCACATACAGAAGCTCAGAGGAGAGAGAGAGACGCCCTGGAGGAAGAGGTGAGGCACGTCTCTACACACACGTCTCACCGCTAAAGGTGTGTGTTTGAGGAGGGTCATCGACTTTAACAGACCGCACATTACACCAATCTGAGGACTGATCAATTCACTTCAACATCACACATGAGTTATAATTAAAAGGGGCTTTTTAAGGAGAGAATTACAATATTAAGAAGTAAAACATCAATAATTTCTACATTTGATAACAATAATAATGTTTCTTAACCCCCAAAACCAGCTTATTCGAATGTGACTCTGAAGACTGGAGTAATGATGGTGAACACAGCTTTGACATCACAGGAATAATAATAAAAAATAAAATAGATTTTAAATTGTAATCAAATTTGACAATCTTTCTGTTTTTACTGTAGTTTGATCAAATAAATGCTACATTAGTGTCCATGAGAGACATGAGAGACCAAAACTTTTGAATAGAAATGTACATATTTAACATTTCAAGTTATATAAATTAAACATTTTTAAATATGAAGAACTATGCATTCAAGGGAACATTTTTTTTTTTAAATAATTTAATTTTAAGATGTTTCTTGAGGTTCACTTATAATGTTAATAAAGTTTTTTACACACACACACACACACATATATGGAAAATAGCTATAAAACTTGATGGTACAAAGACCTTGTATTTGTCAAAAGATCAAGGCAAATTTGATTTAACATGTCATGACCCCTTTAAACGATTTATTAATTTATACAATGTCCATTTGCAATAACTAATGTGAACCTTATCATAAAATGACCAAATGAAGCTGGAATGAGTTCTTCCTCCGGTCAGTTGGACATTCCCCTCGCAGAAACATGAAAACAATCAATATAAAGTGTGAATCTTGAAGCTTTGAATAGTAATTGGACATGATTGTATGCAAGTAAAGTTTGGATATTGTATTTTTTACTTGAGTTATCTGATTTTAAATGGCTTTTTACTGACCCCTAGGGGTAAAAAAGTGAAGTGACACAATTCAAATACTGCTGACACACAGTAGACAATTAATAATGAAGGCTAATAATAAATGGAGATACTAACAAAACAACCCGCGTGTGTTCATAACTAATGTAGCGCGACATTTGGCAAACCACATTTACATACATTCATGTACACATGAGTCAGAGGAGAGAACGGGAATGAATCCAGATCGAAATAAGAAACAGCAGAGGTGACGTGAGAGATGAGCGAATCCGTCTCGTCAGTCGTCAGAGAGAGATGGAGTGTGTATTTGGGGCAGTGTTCTGTTGATACACACATGCCTGCGTCTCCAGGGGGCAGTCTGTGGTTTCAGTCACGACACTCTTGTCAGTTTCCTCAACCCACCCCCACCCTCTCTCTCTCTCTCTCTAGTTCAAGGTGCCATGATGTGAATTTCACAGCTGACACACTCTTTTATGCGGCCCAGAGCGCAGCGTCTCTCCCTCTCTCATCTCCATCCCCGCTCACAAAGCAAATGGCTTTCTTTTGTGGGAAAGATTTCAAGAATCCATTAAAGCTATCTAAGATCTGACTGTGATATAAAATCGATACCTAAGGGCATTTAACGCTCCACCTCTCATAAGAAGCACCTTCTTGATGTTCTTTTCCCTTCCTCCCCTAGCTCTCGCTCGCTCTTTCTCTTTCATCTCGTCTTTGAACTGTGCCTGCATGCGCTCTTCAGAGGCATCTGAGAGATATTTTCAGACTTTGGTTGATATTTATGAGGATTTATGAGGTTGCCGGTTCAAGAGCAGGACTGCGGCTCTGTTTCTAAATGAAGGTCGCTTTAGCTGCCTACCTAGGCAGTATTTTAAGCTTTTGGCGCACAAGCTGTTCCAGACCCTGCCAAGATACTCAATTTTGGCCAAATTTAAAGGCATTGTTTTTATCCGTAGCCGACAGGCCAATCACAGCGATGAGTGAAACAATTCATTCTAGATAGCAGACGAGAAATAATTCAATCTAATTAGAAAATGACAGATTTTACTCAATATTTCTGTGTGCATCTTTGACTTCGTCTTTAATTTTTTTTTTTACTCTATATAGGCCTAACTAACTAATATTTAGTTTATATTTGAAGAGTTCAGATGCAAAAGCCTCTAAGTGCCATTTGAAATTTTCTTCTAAAATGATGTTTTTGATCAAGCTTGTATATTTTAAGTTCAGTAATTTCACTTAAATGGCAATGAGGACCTATTCATTGTCATTTAAGTGAAATTACTGAACTTAAATATACAAGCTTGATAAAAATGACCGTTCTAGAAGAAAATTTCAAATGGCATTTAGAGGCTTTTGCATCTGAACTCTTCATTTTCAGAAGTAATGGTAACCATTTACAGTGTGGGTGCACTAATGTAAATTATATGTCAATCGACGGTAGTTCAGTCATGAAACTCTAGAGGGCGCAAGCTGATTGGTAATTTAAATGCAGTTTGTGTTCATTCACATCAGCAGAGGTGCAAGCTGATTGGCCTCTGCTGATCCTGCAGCCAATGAGATTGCTTGCTCAACATTTAAATAGTCTGGTTAACTGTAAGCTAGTCCTGCAGCACACTTTCAGATTTACTCTGAAATTCAACTTCTTAAGAGAAGTGAACAGTCTTTATTATTCCAAATCAAAACTTTTTTTATGAAGATAGAATGTGCAGGTTTGCATGTGACCCTGTTTGTTCATGATGATACTTTTGGCTTTTTGAACAGCAAAATATGAATCAATATTTTTGTTATCTGAATTTGTGGGTCTAAACTGAGTGCAGAAGTTGGATTTCAGAGATCATGCTTGTTCAGATAAGTGCTCTGGGTAATTTATATATATATATATATATATATATATTAAGTGCTCTGGGTAATTTATATATATATATATATATATATATATATATATATTAAGAGTTCAGATGCTAAAGCCAGAGACTTTTATTTTGGATGCAATTAATCGCAATTAATTTTTGCACAGCCCTAATATATATATATATATATATATATATATATATATATATATATGAAGAGTTCAGATGCAAAAGCCTCTAAATGCCATTTGAAATTTTCTTCTTTAATGATGATTTTTTATCAAACTTGTATATTTAAGTTCAGTAATTTCACTTAAATAACAATTAATAGGTAATTATCATTGCCATTTAAGTGAAATCACTGAACTTAAATATACAAGCTTGATAAAAATCATCATTCTAAAAGAAAATTTCAAATGGCATTTAGAGGCTTTTGCATCTGAACTCTTCATATATATATATATATTAGGACTGTGCAAAAATTAATTGCGATTAATTGCATCCAAAATAAAAGTCTCTGTTTACATAACATATTTGTGTGTGCTGTATATAATTATTTTGTATAAATAAATACCTATGCATGCATGTATATATTTAAGAATTATTTGCGCTTAAATTCTGTATATATATAAAAATACATAATCTATATTAAATATATTATATATGAATAACACATTTTCTTAAATATATACATGCATGTGTGTGTATTTATATATACAAAATAATTATATACAGCACACACAAATATATTATGTAAACACAGACTTTTATTTTGGATGCGATTAATCACAATTAATTTTTGCACAGCCCTAATATATATATATATATATATGTATGTATATATGTATGTATTTATATGTATATGTATGTATTTATATGTATATATATGTATATGTATATATATATGTATATATATATGTGTGTGTATATATGTATATGTATATATATATATATATAATATATATATATATACAGTTTGCAACATTATCTAATTTGTTAAAGTCACACAGTGCATATTTTAATTATGTAATTTTGAGTTAAATTGGCTCAGGCACAAAGAGCTGGTTTAGGTCAAACCTGAGAGTAAATGGTACATCTGCTAAAGTCAATAGCTTTATGCCTAACACCAGTCAAACCACTAGATTTGTTATCATTGGTCAAAGCATGGCCAGGTACACACTGATGCCAAGGATGTGGTTCTTGTGGCTCTTCTGAGATGCAGTAGTTCATGTCTTGGAGGGAGATCTGCTTGTTTTGGGGGGCTGTAAGCATTCTTGGCTACACGTCACGTCATTTTTTAGAAATAGGACTGTCACATACACAGTATTTGTGGTCTGGATTTCATCCATCCAAGTGCACACACACAGAAGTGAGTATTGAACACACACAACATGAATTATTGCCGAAGCATCCAGGGAGCAATTGTGGGTTCGATGCCTTGCTCAAGCGCACTTCTGTTATGGGTAATGAGAGAAGAGGAGAGTGCTGTTCATTCACTCCCTCCACCCACATATCCTGCCTGGAATAAGACTTGAACCTGTGACCTTGCGTCCGGAGTTCGGGAAGTCATCTGTGGGAGGAAAACAGTCCGTCCGCTCAGTTTATAAACCGTACTCATGAATTCTCACACTGTTCCCTCAGTTTAACAAATCGAGTTTCTGATCTGCGCTCTCAGATTGGTAAACAGTGCCTTCAGTTTTTGCAATCTGTACCCACAAATGTATAAACCGTGCCCACGCTTTCTCACGGGTTTGTAAAATGTACTCACAGATTTGTGGCTCGCCCTCATTTTAGATGAACATCAGGAGGTACGTTGTTAACGAATCTTATTGTGTATTGTTTTATTGTGTATTTAGTGGAATACATCAAATTGCCTTAACTGCGTTTGCATGTTTCAAGTGATTCTCAGTCGTTGCGAGTACGGGGTGGAATATATACTATTTAATATGAATGACGTGCATCTAAATCAAAAGTTTATTTGTGATAATCTTAGCACTTTATTATTATTGTCTAACCTGTATTATGACTGATATTTGACTAAATGGGTTGTCCCTTTTTTTGGACAAAAGCGTCTTCTAAATATGTAGCCTAAAATGTAATAATAATAAGAATTATTATTATTATTAGAGTTTATAACTATAAATGAGTTCACTTAGTAATATAGTAGTATGTTTGTCATAAAATTATTCATCAATGCTTTATTTTTTTAGGATAACCTAACCTTT